TGAGCATGAGTGACCGTCGTAGCTTACGTTCTTATGACCTAGTTGTGGGCTTCTGGTGTGGTGGCATGAGGAAATAAGTAAGTTTACTGGTAAGCACATTGTGTGCTTGGAAGTAGGTTTTGGAAACGATGACCAAACATTGTTGTTTAAAGTTAAGCAGAAAGGAATGTAGGAAATGGAAGTTTAAAGATACACCACACTGCGGGACTCCTGTCCACACGAAGTGCCTCAACGAACAGATCCTTGTCGAAAGCCTTCGTCTTTCACTTCCGGTCACAAGTTCTCGTCCTCCGTACTGCCACAGTATTCCGTTGGCCGATGCCATATCGTATCGCCTGATGGTCGCTATGGGTATATCCTTCACACACTCTCCAATCCATGTTTGCCATCAGCGACGGACTGCAGAAAGTAACGTCGATAATGGATTTCCGGCCATCTCTGCGAAAAGTGCTGCTGGTGCCTTTATTGGCCAGCATAACTTCCAGTTTTGCCAGAGCTTCCAGCAGACTGTGCCCTCTTGCATTGGAACATCTGCTTCCCCACTCCACTGCCCAAGCATTAAAGTCTCCTTCGATGACTACCGGTCGTCGTCCGATCAGCTCTTCGGTAAGTCCATCCAGCATCTCATGGAACTTCTCCATCGTCCATCTGGGGGGTGCGTAACAACTACACATGAAGATTCCGTTAATTTTGGCGATCACGAAACCTTCGTATGAGCTCGCAACCACTTCTTGAATGGGGTATCTGCCCATAACTTGTATAGCAGCCATCCCAGCTCTATCCGCCACCCAGTTACCGTTATCGGGAGGGACTCGATACGGTTCCGCAATGATTGCAACGTCGCACTTTGTTTCTGTTGTCGACTGCCACAACAGTTGCTGAGCAATGTCGCAATGATTGAGGTTTATTAAGGTTACCTCCATTACTGTTGGCCTGCCATCGCCTTTTTGTATGCTAGGCATTTGAAGCCTCCCGTCGTATGATCGTTACCGTCCTTTTTTTTGCAGAGCATACACCTCGGTTGCTTCGTGCAGCCTCTTGCAATATGGCCTTTCTCTCCGCATTTCCTGCACAGATTAGATCTGTCAGGGCCATTGCAGTTCGTCGCCTGGTGACCAAATCCCATGCACTTGAAGCATCGCTCCAGTTGCTTGGTAACTCGAGGAGTGGCTTTCAGCGAGCACAATGACCAGCCAACCTTGACCTTGCCCGTCTCCAACAGCTTTTTCGCTGCAACTGTCGAAAGCCGTATAACCGCCGTTTGCATGCCGCCGTACGCCTTCCTCATCCGGATTGACATCGGGACATCTCCCAGATCGCAGTGCACTCTCAACGCACTTCTTAGCTCCTCTTCTGTGGTGATCTCGTCCAGGTCCCTGCACTCGACCACTGTCTCCTGAGATAGGGCTCTTACGCTCGCCTTTTCGCCAAGAGACTTTTCGATGAGCTCCTTGAAGGCTGAGCTCTTGAAAGTAGGATCCTTCTTCAGCTCAAAGAGCATCTCGCGTTTCTGGGTGCGCCTGGTTTTCACCACGTTCTCTCCTAGTTGCTCCAACTTCGGATCCTCTCGAACCTTCCGGAGGAGTGCTGCATACGACGTTTTGACCTTAGCTTCGACGATCAGAGCATCGCCCTTACTTCGCTCCCGACGAGTCCTGGGTATCTCCTTCTTCTGTTCAGCTTTCTTCTTCACTTCTTTTTCCTTCCGTTTTTTCCACTTCTCCTTCGACTTCTCGACGATACGCCAGCCTTCCTCCTTGTTGTCTTCCTTGTCGTTCTTGACTTTTTTCAACTCCTCTTCCTCTCCTGGCGTTTCCCTTTTCCTCTTCACCGAGCGTGGATTTCGAGGTCCCTTTGGTGTCTCCTGTATTTCAGCTGCTGCTTTCTCCTTGGCCTCGATCAGCGCCCTTTCGGCAGTCACGGATCTCGTCCTCAGCGCATCCTGTTCACGTTCGGCAGCAATAATGGCGGATTTGATGCCCGTCACCATTTCCTTAATTGCCTTGTGAACGTTGCTCTTATCGTTGACGAAGTCATGGAGTTCATTGATCCTCCTACTGACCTCCATCAATTTGGTCTTCCCAAGCTGCAATCCTTCTTGGGGTGTGCTACTGCTGGATTTCGGTGTGAACATCTGGCTTAGCATAAGACCTAGCTCGCCTTGGTGTCCTTGCTGCTCACCTTGGGGCTTACTGCTGCTCACCTTGGGGCTTACTGCTGCTGCTGGAACTTTTTGGGTTTTCTCATTTTCTTCTTTTGGGTTTTCTCATTTTCTTCTTTTGTGTGTTGTGTGTGCGTGTGTGTGAGTGAGTGAGTGTGTGTGTGTGTGTGTGTGTGTGTGTGTGTGTGTGTGTGTGTGTATGTGTGTGTGTGTGTGTGTGTGTGTGTGTGTGTGTGTGTGTGTGTGTGTGTGTGTGTGTGTGTGTGTGTGTGTGTGTGTGTGTGTGTGTGTGTGTGTGTGTGTGTGTGTGTGTGTGTGTGTGTGTGTTTGTGTGATTGCACCAAATGATTACATTTCTTCCTCATCTCCTAGTTTTAACTGCGTTCAAGAATAATTAACTAAAAAAAAAGAAAACTGGAGAAAACAACAAACAAAAAGCGTTGCAAAAGTTCATACCATAACATATCCAACTTACTATGTTACTAAAATTACAAATGTAATTTTTAATTTTATGATGAAAAGTTGCTCAAAATAGCAGCCTGTAATTCCGTACCAGAATCCGCCTCCAATTTAATGTCTTTTGATATTTTCGAAGGCGATCACTCCGCAGCCCATTCCTGCTAGTAACTCTATTTAATTGTTGGATACCTAACAATTGGATGGAATCACCAGCAAGAACAGGTTGTGGAGTGTTCGCCTTCGCCTTATTGAGTATATGGATGAATTATTATTACTGAATAACTATTATTTACGATAGTTACACGAAATAAATAAAATATAAACTACAAACAAAACGTGACTACTAAAATCTCCAAAAGATATTCTCACAAATATATTTCACGCAACCAGGAATCTCAAAACCATTAGACGCTATAATGATACTCTGCACATTAGACATAAGAAGAGGCCAAAAAGCAAGCGTTCGACACACAAAACCCGACAGATCCACTTGCAGTCACAATCAACGATTCTACGAATCGCGAGCGCTCACGAATCATAGAACCGCTGACTGCGACGCTTTGAAAGCGAAACTGACAGACTCTATGCGTCAAACACCCGCCCTCCAATCTCCTCCTGCATCCAACAACACAAATCTCCATTACAACATCTAACGAATTCAAAACTCCGTAGAATCACTTATCTATTGCAAGTGAGTGAAAGCAACCCTGCATGCAACTTACTGCATACACTTTTTCTGTCTATCTTTCTATTAGGCCTGTGGACATGCGTTAGCTTCGAAACTTCTAACCAAACTGGGAAATCTATCAGATCACAAAAACTTGAAAAAACTTGCTGAACAAAAATATGCTGAAATAAAATAAAATTTTAATAAAATGATGTGCAAAATTTACTTGAAGATCATTACTTTATTGGTGAGAAGTTTCTAATAAGCCCTCCCAGTTCCTCTGTATACAGAACAAATCTGATACTATAATCAGAATTGCTCAGTCTGCATGAAGCAGCCGATTTCATCAAGGAAGTTCTATTAACAACCAAGAATTAATCGTTTGAGGCATACTGAAGCATTAAGAAGGTGATATGTGTCACTATAGGAAATCATCATCGTTGCAAATATAAAGAAATTAAACATAACCCTTTGCATCAGTACCGTCAACCTCCATGTCCATGGGGAGGGACTAACGATGTGAACTTGATTTTGATCTAAAAAGTGATCAATGAACCCTAAGCGGGTCCTCTGCATCCTATATCTATCTTATCTCGAATACCAAATGGCAATGGTTTGAATGTATCAATATATAACTTGCCATATCGCAAATTTCCAAAAACAAACATGCACACAGTAATTTAATCCAAGTAATTAGAATGTTGTAATTACTTCAATATGCGTTATATTGGCCATATATTTTTTTTATCGGGAAATGAGGTACATTCAAATAAACCCTTTCACTTGGCCAGGCTTCAGAATTATCCAGTGGGTAGTGCGTTCTACACTCCATGTTCCATTTCTTTCAAATTCACCCAAAATTTTATACTTTACCCATTGAATGTTGAAATATTGTGACAGAGCACGTACTTGAGGTCTAGGTTTATTGTAGGACATCTAGGTCACAGATAATCGTTGAAAAATTACAGGAAAACTGTGAAAAATCACCGAACTGTTTACCGAAAGTTCAGCTGTTGAGATTTCGGTAAAATTTCACAGATTTCGGTAAAATAATCTTAGTGTGTGCGTTTCTCTTGATCACGTCTCTTGTATTGATAAATGCTTTTTCCGACACACCAAAACAAGATTTAGGCTCATTTTTGCAGTGAGACTCTTTGATTTTATATGAATCCATGAGATTTTGAAGATCTAGATCATCAACGTGTTAATCTAAATCTCATCTCGTATTTTTTTTTTCTACAAAGTAGACGTATTGTAGAACAATTCTGCTAAAAAAATCATATGATTATCGGTTATTTTTTAACGCTTTTTTTTTGTTTAAGGCAGTGGTTATGTTTGAATTGGGTTTATAGAGATCTCCAAGCGCAATCTCACGAACACTAAAATCCAACATCCATATATAAACATGAAAAAGAAGAACCAAAAAGGTATCGCGATATCACAACTACTTAAAAAGGTAGCGCGCGGTCTCACGCACACTTTTGTGCATCTGGAGAACTCTATTATTGAATTACCGGCAAAACAGGAATTGAAAAAGTGGATTTGAATGGACACCCTGACTGTATATGTGCTGTATCACTTTTACTAAAGAGGCTGAATAGGGTACCGCAAAATTGGAACTGTCAAAGCCTTGAAAAAAAAATGTATTCTAATCGAACAGACAAGCTGAGATTTGCCTGATTCAGTTTTTTTTCTATTAAATTTGTACAATACCTTTCTGAAAATAGTACGCGTCCGATGACTGTCCCGCAGGCATGACACTAATGATTTTAGAATTGTAATTTTTAATCGGGTCTGTTGTGTGGTAGCAACTTGCATAGCTTCAAGTAAACGTAGCATATCATCATCGCCCCCAGTGTTAACTATCATTTCTTTTACGATTTCTGTAGAAGTAAAATGTATTAATATAAATGTACACATTTGGTTTTTATCTGGTTAAACATAACTTACTCAACACACTGTTGCTACAACTTTCGAACCGTATCATGTCGTGGATACATTTAGAACCACCACTATCTCGAAATACGGTAGCATTGCTATTATTTCCACTCAAAAGAATCATCAGTGCATCTAGAATCATTTCTCCTAATACCAAGGTAGGATCTAGAAATGTACATAGGCCTTTTTGCAGAAAGAATTAAATCAATACAATTAACGTAGCATACCTTTGGTAGAATTTGAGTTACTTTCAAATGGAACAGTTTCCAGTAAAGATTTGTATTTTTTTAAGCAGTTCACGAAAACTTCCAATACACCAACTTCTCGGTAAACATCACAGAAGAGATTGCTATGTTTTAGTAAATTCAGGAGCGTCTTCATACAAAGAATACTGCAATCAATGGAATGATTTGATTTTAGCAGCAGGGACAGCGAGATCAACTCTTTGCAAGGTACGAAGTTTAACTGGAATACAATAAACTCCAGCAATCCAAAGAAACGTTCCCTAACAGGAACACTTTTTAAGTGTATTACTTCGGAAAATTGGCAAAGTGTGTTTTGAGATTCCAAAATAAAGTAGTTAGCATTGTCTGAATGGTACACGCTAGATACGGCATCCAATATTATACAGCAGAGTGAAGTATTGTCAGATTTCAAGAACACTGTCTGTAACACCTGGAAAGCGTGCAAATTTCGCACACATGTACCACGAGCAGATATTTGTGGCATTTTGAAACCTTGCATTTGGAATAAAGAATTATTGTTGAATGTGACCTTTAGTTCATTATATCCACAAATACAGAGAGATGCCGTCATTAAAACCAGGTTCCGTATTGCAGCTTCCGTATCGGGAGATTTCTGATCTTCTTGATCCAACCTAGAAAAAATCAATATTTTAATATTGCACGTTTTAAACTGAAACAAAAAAATTACTTGATCAGAAAATCTACCAAAAATAAATATCCTTGACAAGATTTAAAATCATCCAATAGTATTTGTGAAACTTCGCTCGAATCTTTCAGGAAGCAAAATACGGATACCACCATTTCGACTACTTCCAAAGGCTGTAATTGTGATGATCTCTGCATATTATCAACACATAGAGACATGCATCCTTTGTCTATAAAAAAAAAATTTAAACTTGTTTCAAATCAATCATGAATTTATCTACATATACTTACTGTGCAAATAGTCAACTACTTGATTCGTCAATCCGTGACGTGAAAGGGTGGTTAGAACTTCAGCTGCTGATTTTCGCCATATAACATTGTACGGTGGGCATTGAGATGTAATTGCAGAAAATAGCAAGGAAAGATCGTCCATTCGTGCCAATTCATCGGCCGGATATGGATGAGAGCATAGACGTACCAGTACCTAAGCAAATATAAATTTAGCAATAATATCGGGTACATAAGGATCAGCTCCAGTATTAAAAAACATATAAAAATCAACAATGATACACTATTTTATTTTGCATTAGATGCTCCAGGGCAGACATGACATTCATGTCATTCTGCTCCATGACGTAGAAGGGTGAAACCTTCCTGAAACAGCAAGTAGGCTAATGGTGTTCCCATTTCATTAAAATCATCAAGTGTAACGATTCAGCTCTGTACATAGTACCAAATGAAATACCGTGTCAACCCAAGCATGGTCTCCCGTAGATAACCATGGGAATACCACAATTGGCAAATCAAAGTTGGCACCCGTGGAGAATAGAAGAACTATTTTAGTTTCAAAATGATGCATGGTGATGTATACGAGTGCAATCTTAAAATTTATTTATTTTGCGAACAAATTATTGTAATCTTTTAATTTTGTCGAAACTTTTAACGGAATCCCTTTATGACGAGCTTTGAGTGTGTTGGTTCCGTTATAATTGCTTACATTTTGGGGGCTGTTCATTAACTATGTAGAAAGTTTTTTTTTTTTTTTTTTAAACACAATTTTTAATTGTCACCTTCCCGTGGAAAATTTGGAAATCATCATCAATTTCATAGTTCTTCTATTCTCCACGAGTGGAGGCGAACCAGCCCAAGGCTGAAAGCCTCTTTAATAAAGTTAAATAATAATAATATTCTCCACGGGAGTTAACTTCGATTTACTAATAGGCCTTTTTAATGGGAACTTAACGATCGATTCAGCCTCTGGTGGTGAATAGGAGAACGTCAAAAAGAGTGTTGTGAGCAGAAATTTTTGCCTTGAGACATAGGAAGCGGAACACATTTTTACTTTTCCTGATAAATTGATTCATCTGAGATGCTCCAAAACTTAATCGACAGTTCAAAAATTTAATTCTGTAACGTTTTTGCAAACATCCTGCTGGTGTACAGGAATATTTTTGTTGCGAAAAATGCAAAATTAGAAAAGCGTTAGTGGTTATGATCTTCCGGATTTCTTGTGTGTGGATAGTTAAGGTACGAATCAGTTCAGATCTGTGGAAAATCGATAGAAATTGGCAAGATGTTGAATGAAAAATGCTTTAATTTGCGTTGTGAAAAATTGTTATTCTGAACGGTTTGGTTGGCGTTTCTTCTCGAACTCACGTGGCGCACTCTACCTTGGTGGTGCATTAAAATGGCGTATTACCGATAGAAATTTGCAAGATGTTGAATGAAAAATGCTTTAATTTGCGTTGTGAAAAATTGTTATTCTGAACGGTTTGGTTGACGTTTCTTCTCGAACTCACGTGGCGCACTCTACGTTGGTGGTGCATTAAAAAGGCGAATAGCCGACTTCTTACAACAAATGAGTGGAGATAGCATGAAAAAAGGAAGGCAAAACCAATAATCCTGAAGTAATCCATCAGGAATCAAAAATATCTCCAAATGACAAAATGACAAGTGATCAACGAACCAAATGATAACGCTATGTTAGAAGTGGAAAGCAATAATAATATAATATTGTTTCTTTTTTTTCATGCCAAACAGCCCGTGCGACACAGCTCACTCGGGCGGTAGAAGGAAACGAGCACATTATTGGCAAACTTTTTTTTCTTTATTAAGCCTAGTATGCAGATCGAAGCGAAACGAAATTTGAAGCACGCGAAAAGTCATGAAATTTCGCTAGCGAAAAAGGTTGTGAAAAAATGTGTGAGGAACATTTTCCAGTTTCCTTTTTTCGCAGTTTACAGTTCATGTGAAACAAAATCGATCAGTTTACACCTCCATTGAAGTGAAAATCTGACAGATACGCTCTCCCGAAACGTCAACTTTTCGCTTAGCTGGTGCTCTTTTCGCGAGCGCTGCATGCGCGAAATAAAAATAAACGCAAGCGAAAAAGATACGATCCACAAAATTAGATTTCGCTGGATAGTATCTGTTGACAGTTCAAAGCGAAGCGAAATATTTGCCAATTGCGTTTTTCACGCAGGTGAAAAATGTAGTATTTTGTATGAGATTTTCGCTTCGCTTCGATATCTAGACACGCCTTTATAGAGATTTTTAGCCATATGGCTAGTTCATCTCTTAAAATTGTTGGTAAGCTGCTTCACGAAGTAAAGCCGAAGATGATACACGTGTGTCAATGGGAAATTTTTTGTTATGTCTTTTCTCGATTCAGATCAAACTATGTCTTCATCCGTGTATATTGCAACAAAGCAGGTAAGCAAGATATCATATATACCACTCCGATAGAGCTATGTTACAGAGCGAGTTTGTCATGGTAGTCGTAGCAACCGTTTTGTCTGTATCGTTGATTGCTTTATATGTTTGGATTCGCTGGTAAGATGTGAACTCTCATGTGATTTGAGGTATCGTATGATAGATTTTGAGTCTATCATAAACTTTCCACCTCCCAGGAACATGGCCCGATGATCAGTATCATCCTCGGCACTCGAAGTGATTACCGTTGAACTGGTTATTGAATAATCATGTGATTTGAGGAATTTTTAACCTAGTTCCCCCTTGGTGAATTCCCCAAGGGTAACCGGAATATGGATGTCGAATACGAAGGTATCGTGATCGCCAAAACCAACGAAATCTACATATGCAGTTGCTACGCACCCCCTAGATGGATGGACTTACCGAAGAGCTGATCGGACGAAGACCGGTAGTCATCGGAGGAGACCTCAATGCTTGGGTAGTGGAGTGAGGAAGCAGATGTACCAACGCAAAAGGGTACAGGCTACTGGAAGCTCTGGCAAAGCTGGGAGTTAGGCTGTCCAACTGAAGGTACCATCAGAAAATTTCGCAGATTTGGTCGGGAATCCATTATCGACGTTACTTGCTGGTCCCCGAGCAGGAGAAAATAGCTTACCTAATTCTGTTCCTGATCCCAAAATTTGGTGTTGATCAGGCTGACGTAAGAGGTAAAATACCCAAAAATAATTCCCAAAAAATGCATGAACAATACTTTCAAAATAACAAAAAAAAAAATATTTGGATACCAAAACATAACCTGTGTGGTATCGTTTTGGTATTACATTTGCAAAATTTGTTATTCATGGGAACATTTTTTGGGTATTATTCTTTGGTATTATACACATTATGTTAGGCTGATTCATACCCGAGCACGAAGGGTGGTTAACATGAACTAGAGATAGCAACCATCAGGCGATCCGGTATAGCATCGGCTAACGGAATCCTGTGGCACTACGGAGGACGAGAACATACGAGCGCAGGGCGACACATACCGAGTCATACTAGCGAAGATCAGGGGTTTAACGACGTTGAAATGTGCCCAGACATGCTGGAAGTCATCGTGGAGGGACTTTCCCTGAAGCACAACCTTATGACAGTAGGCCACCTACACCATACGGCGAGGAAGAGGGAGACAACGCCGAAGGTACCCAACAAACAATTCAGAATCACAAATAAGAATAAGGGTGGGTCTTTAGACTGATGCAAAATTTGAAATTTTCGCTCCACAATCATGTCCTGATTAGCCTCCCAAAATTTAAACTCATTCGGAAAGAAACTGACTTGGCACAAACTATTCGAAGTTTATATGGAAATTACTATGGGAAAACCAAACTTTTTGTTCATTGTCTTCTACCAATTTTCCATATTGCTTTTTCGAAAATATCAATAACTATTTTTACGGGAAATTTTCTAAGCTACAACTTTGCGGAACATCGTTTTTCAGTAAAATGTCAAATTAAAATGTTATTAATTGTTTAAGAGATTGATAATCTTATGGCATGATCAAGCAGCTGTTCTGTTAGCAACACTGTATTCTGCAGTGTGACATAGTAGCCATGATATTTGTGCTCTATTCTTCGCACCAGAAACACCAATGTTGCCTGCTGAACAGTTGAATGAGCATAATTATAAGACATCAGTGACTTGAATCATTAATAACTTTTGTTCCTTACTTTTGATTGAAAAGTGTTTTTCACCAAAGTTGTAGCTGAGAAAATTTACTGCTATGATTTTTAAAAGCATAGTGATGTGGGGAATTGTTAGATAGATATGAACAAAAACATAAGTTTTCCCATAGTAATTTCCATATAAACTTGAAATGGTTTGTGCAAAATCAGTTTCTTACTAAAGTAGTTCAAATTTTGGGAGGCTAACCAGGACCCGATTTGGAACCATTTAAGCACTGTGGAGCGAAAATTTCAAATTTTGCATCAGTCTAGTGGGTCATCGTTATATGGAAAAACAAAAACTTGACCTAATCAAGTGAGCACAACCCTTTTTTTGGTTCCATTTGGGGACGATTGGTTACGACCCGGCGTTTCGCATTGCGTTTGAAGTTTGTATGGAAATAGTAGGAAAACCTACTTTTTTGCTTGTTCATCCCTAGAGACCACAATTTTGCTTGAACCATGCAACTAACCATGTAAGATGTGCAAGAAGTGCTTAGCAACTTTTCCGAAGAAAGCACGGTACTAGAATGTATCTAAAAAAAGTTATAACTGTTCAAATATGTATGGTTTGAATTAAATGTCAAAAATCACCTTTCCTGCCAAGACTGCTGGTGTACCAATGAAAGTCAGATTCTAATCTAAAATAATTTCAGAGTTTCGTATTTTATTGATTTGGTTGGTGTGTTCAGATGAATTATTCAAAAAAAAAAATCTCTATCTCATACGTGTAGTAAGAAAGGATAGGGGCTTACTATAACCTCCCCCCTTCATCAGCCTCCTCACACATATCAATGGAAGTAAAGTTCAAAACTGAAATAACTTCGAAGTTTCTTATCTTATGGATTTGGTATGTTCAGATGAATTATTCAGAAACAGTTGCTCAATCTCATAAGCGTAGTTAGAGCAATGTAAATAAAGTTTCAAACTAAATTAACTGGCCTATCTCATCTTGTCGAGTTTGTATGTTCAGATGTGTTATTCAAAAATATTTGCTCAATACAATAGGTGTAATTGGAAAGGGCGGGAGGGGAGGTAGGCTTACTGTATCCCCTCCACTCTCTCA